AAGTTGGCCATCTGTCTGGTTGTCTTCACTTACCGGGTGGGGCCTTCATTGCTGTTTGATCTGCCTGTCCTCCCTCCCACCCAGTTTCTCTCTTCCCTGCCTTTATCTATCTTGCTCTCTTTTCCTATCTCCCCAATCAGTCATTCATCCAAGTCGTCTGTGCTTTCTTGATTAAGCCCCTGATCCAAAGGGTCCCACTCTCAGTCTCTGTCCTACTCAAGTGTTCCCTGCCATGAGGGTCACTTGTTAGCTGCCAACTATTAAGGTGAGCTGTTCTCTTTCCTTTCCCTGACCACTCCAGAGTTTGTGCTGAGTCTGGCTAAGGCCACTTGGATATTTGCTGCCAACTAGAAAGTGTATCCATATTTTAAATGGCTTTATTAAGGTATAATTATGTACAATAAAGTTCAACTGTTTTCAGCAGACAGTTCAGTGACTTTGGCAAACGCATACAGCATGGAATCAGTACCAAAATCAAGACATAGAACATTTGCATCAACTCCAAAACTTTTCTTGTGCCCCTGTGCCATCTGACTTCTCTCCTCACCCCTGGCTGCTCTTGGCAACTACTCTTCATCTGTTTTCTGTCACTATAGTTCTGGATATTTTTTTTTTTTAGAATTTCATATAAATGGCATCATGTACTACATAATCTTTTGTGTCCTGTATCTTTTACTTATGATGTTGTTGAGATCCAGCTGTCTTCTCTGCATGTATTGCTGAGGAGTACCCCACTGTGGTTATACCATAATTTTTTTTTATTGATTCACCAGTTGGCATCTGGGTTGTTCCCAGTTTGGGGCTAAAATGAATGAAGTGACTGTGAACATTAAGGCACAAGTTCTTGTGTGGACATGTTTTCATTTCCCCTGGGTAAATGCTTGTGAGTACAGTTGCAAGTAGTGTGGCAAGTGCATATTTAATTTCATAAGAAATGACCAATCTGTCTTCCAGCGTGGTTTTACCCCGTTGCATTCCCATCCAAAGTCTACAAGAATTCTAGTTTCACCACATTCTCTCCAGCACTCGGAATGGTCAGTCTTCTTAACTTTAACCATTCTTATAGGTGTGTATTTGTGTCTCGTGGCAGCTTTAATTTGCATTTCCCTGATAATTATTAATGTTGAGCATCTTTTCATGTGCTTATTGGCCACTCAGTATATCTTTTTTTGTGGTATCTTCTGCCCACTTTTTATTGGGTTGTTTTTCTTCTTATAAATGTAAGAGTTTCTCCAATCCATGTTTTGGGGTTTTTTGTTTTTGTTTTTGTTTTTTTCTCCAATCTGTGTTTATCTTCCCCTTTTCTCCTTTCTTCCTCCCTCAGTCCCTCTGGATCTGTCTTTCTCCAGTTGCGTCTCTGTCCCAGTCTAACTCTGCACGTCTCAGGGCCTCCCAGGGCCTCCCACTATCTCACCCTCTCTCCTGCCTCCTTCTCACATTCTCTCTTCTCTTCTCCTCCAGGACATCTCAAAACCTGAGAATCTGACATCCTTTCCCATTCCATATCAGAAATAACTCTATCACAAGCCCCCAGATTTCAGTCCTGGCCAGGTTCATTGTTCCAAATAGGGGGAAATACTCCCCTCCCCAGATGAAGGCCCAGAGAAGTAAAAAGAGCCTGATGTAACGGAGGGGTGGCTTCACATTCTGTCAACTTCCTCCTCTCTAAATGATTAATGGTGTTTATGAATAGAAGTACTTTTTACTCAAACATAATATTGGAAAGTCAGGGGTGTTAAGTGAGGTTCATCCTGCTTAATCAGTGGCCCAACAGTCTCCACAAACATAAGATTAGTTGTTCATATAACAAGGCTCTCCCTTGGCACCTCTCCTAAGTCCAGCAGGGGTGTATCTTGCCCAGTCATAGGGAAGGAGCAGCTATCCCAAAGCCAGCTCCTTTTCACCTCTGTTTGAGGGACCCACTGTAACAAAATTTGATTGCAAATTTCTGAACGCTTTATGCAGTATTAGAGTACCTCAGATGGGTGGTTGTGCTATTGAGAGCTTTATTGAGTTACAATTCACCTACCATACAATTCAGTCATCTAAAGTGTACAATTCAGTGGTTTTTAGATATTCATAGATATGTGAATCCATTACCACCACAATTTTAGAGCATTGTATCACCTCAAAAAGAAACCCCATACCCTTTAGCTATCACCTCATATTCCCTATCCTCCGAACCCATGGAAACAGCTAATCTACTTTTTATCACCATAGGTTTGCCTATTCTGAACATTTCATATAAACAGAATCAAATAATACATGGCCTTTTGTGTCTGGTGTCTTTCACTTAGTATAATGTTTTCAAGGTTCATCCATGTTCTCACATCTATCAATACTTCATTCCTTTTTATGGCTGAATAATAATCCATTGTATGGATATACCATGTTTTGTGTATCTGTTCATCAGTTGATGGACATTTGGATTGTTTCCACATTTTGGTTATTATGAATAATGCTGCTGTAAACATCTGTGTATAGGTTTCTGTGTGGACATAAGTTTACATTTCTCTGGAGTATATACTAGGAGTGGACTTACTGGGTCACGTGGTAATCCCATGTTTAATCATTTGAGGAACTGCCAGCCTGTTTCCCAAAGGGACTACACAATTTTACATTCCAACCAGAAATACATGAGGGTTTCAATTTTTCTACCTCTTCACCTGTTACACTTCTCACTGTGTAACAGAGATGGAAAAAAGATTACTCAAAGCAAGATGAATGCAATGAGAAGCCTGAAGGACTGCACCTCAGCAACCCTTTTGTTAGAAGGAGAAAACTGGGTATAGCCCCGATTCAAAGTTAGCTTTTGTTTTTTATTGTAAAGACAAGGAAGTTTCACAAGAAAAACCAGTTGATTCAATCATTTCAAAAGGACACAAAGACATGGGCAATGTGACAAAAGTTATCTATGGCTAGGTATAGCTTAAACAATGGAAACTAGTAACATCATTTAAATTAAGAAAGTGACATTCCAAAGTACAATTTGTAAAAAGCTAAATTGATAATACTGTGATCATTATTTAACCCAAAATATAACCTCTCCCCAAATGATTTAAGCAAAAGTTATGTTCTTCTGATAATTGTCTCTAAAGTTTCCACCAACAAACAGCTTGCCCTTAGCAAACACTTTTTTTCACATTTTTCCCTATAGCAATTCCTTCAACATATTTTAATAACAATCAGTATGTTAAATAGTCTAAGTACATAATCCCATCCCTAAACAGTGATTAGAATTGATTAGATGGGCTTTTGCCATGCCATCTGTAGACTTTTGTCCCCTGGCCAGAGACTTTTGTCTCATGTATGCATTACCTAAAAACACTATCTAAAGATCAAATGAAAATCAAGATTTCTAACCCTCTACATTCACCAATACTTTACTGTAATGGTTTTCTGATCCTACAGCTAGATCCTTGAAATCTCACACATACATACACAACCACACATACACTTACGCAATCATTGACACAGGTACACACACAAAGCTACATAGTTGTTCGTATCTGTGTACACCTCAAGTTCACATATACACACAGAGAATCTCGTATAGATACTTACAATCACATATACAATTTCATATACATACAATCACATGCAGCATACATACCTATCAACCCACAGATTATATGTGTGAACATAATCATATATACAATAGACCAGTGCCATCACACATGTACATAAAACTGCTGTGTACATGTTTGCACATGGAACCAGAGACACATGCACTCAGTAAAGCATTCATACCTGCACAAACACAAATATACAAATAATAGTTGTACCCACAAAAGTATAGTTTTAGAAAGGTTTCACTAACCTGTGGTGTACTGGGTAGGAAGACCTTTTCATTCATCCATTCATTATTTGTTTGTTCTTTAAGCTACAAGTACATACGGAGCACATAAGAAACACAATGATGAACAAGGCTGACATAGTCCCTGCCCTCGTGGAACTTAGTTTCGTGGGGAGGATGGTCAGTGAATAAACAAGGAAACAATCACAGTCTGTGATATGTGCCAAGAAAGAAATAAGCAAGACAGTATGTTAGATTATAGGAAGAGTCCTAGGATAGTAGGCAGTTTCTAGGAACTTTTATCGTTGTTGTTTCCTCTCTCATCATAGAAAAGGGAAAGGAATTGAGATTCCTCTTCTACATTGGATACGCTGCCGGATCACAGTCTGTGATATGTGCCAAGAAAGAAATAAGCAAGACAGTATGTTAGATTATAGGAAAAGTCCTAGGATAGTAGGCAGTTTCTAGGAATTTTTATCGTTGTTGTTTCCTCTCTCATCATAGAAAAGGGAAAGGAATTGAGATTCCTCTTCTACAAGTCATTGGATACGCTGCCGGGTGTGTGTGTGTGTGTGTGTGAGTGTGTGTGTGTGTGTGTGTGTGTGTGTTTTAATATGAGCAGTAGTCAATAAGAATGTGGCTCAGAACCTAGACTCTCTGATTTTAAATTTTCTTTGTTTCGTATGCGTTGGGTGACCTTTTTTTCCCTCTGTGTCTCAGTAAATCATCCAAAAATGGAAATTAAGATAGTACCTTTAGTAAGGATTAAATCAGCTGATACAAACCACTTAAAACTGCCTGGCAAGTGCTAAGTTCTGAACCAAAGTTAGCCCTCATGCCATTTTCTGAGAGCAGGTTTTCACAGAGGGAAGTGAGCCCTGGGAGATGGCTGGGGTGGGGGGTGAAGAGAAGCCCGGCAGTGCCCTGTTGACTGCAAATCATACAGCTCTTTATCCTCCACCACAGATGAGCAGTCTTTTGGAATGAGGCCCTGTCATGCCTCCCCAGCAGGCCCTAAACCAGTCTATCCACGCCCTGCTGTGCCCACAGCCACAAACCACAGAGAAGACACATGATGGGTGACAGTGGCCATGGTGCTTGGCTTTCAGCCACATCAGGCCTTTCTGTAGCAGTTCTGTTTGCTGTGGGCCTGGCTTGTGGCGTTCACTGGTTCTGCTGGTGTCTTTTCTGTTTGTCTGTGTAGGTCAGCACTTACCATCCCGCACCTGCCTCCCCAGGACATTCCACGGCCATGGTCAGTCTGCCTGGCTCCCAGCAACACCCGCCAGCTAACATGTGAGTAAAAAGCTCTTCCTGTCACCCCAGGTGCTGGCACCCAGGGGTCATCTTTGCCAACCCTCTGACTTTGAGCATCACCACTCCAAACCATCCCATCCAGAGAGACAACAGGTCCCCTTCCTTTACCACCTCCAAATGAAATGGGGAAGACACACATCAGCAAACCACATCATCCTAGTCCACTACTTCACAAAAGTAGAAAGAGACGAAGATTATGTACCACAACATCACTGGGAGATTGGGAATTGAGCAATTTCAGTTGTCTTCCTTTAGATTCAAAATGTTGAGTCATAAATAGTTGTTGCTTTAGTAATCAGCAAAAAAATAAATATAGCACTACAGAAAGGAATAAAAACTTGTAGATGGGTACACTCCCCTGGCCCTTTTGATAAAACATTCAGTGTCTCAGAGTCCTTAGAGTCTGGAAGGGCTCCCTACTGTCTGAGGGCCATATACTGGTGACCCCTGAATCTGGCAAGCCAAAGTGGTTTAATTTTTTCATGACTTTAGCGAGCCACTATTCTCACTTCTACAACCTCACTATTCACTATGGTCTTCACACCCCTGATTTATACCTGGGTGCTACCTGCCTGCTTCCTGTGTGGACTTCAGAGAGCAAAGTCTCTGCTCTAACCCAATGACATTTTTGCGATGTCACTAGCACATTCCCTTGCATCCCATCATGCAGCCAGTATTCCATTTTATGCCAAAAAATGAAAATAACCCCTGCCTCACACTTCCCAATGTCTGCTTCCCTGCAGAACTTACCTTATTAAGCTAGTTCCTCAGGCCACTTCTGGGAGTCAAACACACCCCTACTCTCAAGAGAAGGAATGGGTCAGAGAAGCTTCTATGCTGACCTCCCATTTTCCTGAACCTTGCTGGCTGCAACCACTTTCTGGGGGGGACGTGCCACGCAGTAGTGAGAACGCATCCTCAGTAGAGCTATTACTTCCGAGTTTGAGACCCATCTCTGCCACTGATTCCTGGTTGGCAACTCCTTTCTCTGTTGAAGGCCAGTTCCCCCATTGTTGGCCTGAGTGGGTAATTTGCAGCTGTGTGGTGCTCTGTGGGGGAGGAGGAGGAGGAGGAGGAGGAAGGAGGAGGGAGATGGACAGGGCAGGGATCAGGGCCCCTCCGCTGCTGTCCCAACCAGGTTTACTACTTTTATCAGCCTTACAGGTTGAGGTTTCAATATGAAAAAGAGTTTTATTGCTAACCACTGGATTGATGGGGCTCTCTGTCTCCCCTGCCATTTGCTGGCTCTCTGCCCTCCACGAGGCATGCTCACCTTCTTCCCTCACCAGTCCTGTGTCTTCCCAGGTTTGTAGCCCTGCACTCCTACTCAGCCCATGGACCTGATGAGCTGGACCTGCAGAAGGGAGAAGGTGTCAGGGTCCTGGGGAAGTACCAGGATGGCTGGCTCAGGGGCATCTCCTTGGTCACTGGGCGAGTCGGCATCTTCCCAAACAACTATGTCATCCCCATTTTCAGGTGCGTCCCTTTTAATCTCAGGCATTGGGAAGTCAGGTTGAACTGATGAGGACTCAGTGCTCTTCCGGACTCTAGACTAAGAGATAGCTTTTGCCCTAAAACCCCCCAACTCTTTTAAAAATTAGCAAAAATAGTTACCTTGTTCATAGCTCTTCTCAGTTTACGAGCACTTACACATATTTCAGCTCATTGGCTATGTAAGGTTACAGATGAAGACACTGATGTGCTGAGCTAAGCAACTTGCTCAAAACTTGATGTCAGGTTTTCTTCTGCACAAATCCCAGAAATCCCACTTCACATCCAACACTCCATCTAGAGGCACAATGGGAAAATGTGGTCAGATGACCTCCCCGGAGCACCTTGGGGAGTGTCTCAGGATGCTAGACCACTAAGCAGAGTTTCCATGAACTCAGACCACTAACCTGTCCATCCACACCCCAGATCAAACACTAGTTACCATGCAGGTCCTCTTCCCTAATAGCTTTTCCCAATCTTGTTCATTTTGTGGCGTGCCTATTAATTTAATTGTTCCCCAGTTTGTCCTGCCACTTCACACTTCACACAAACACAGATGCACACAGACCCCAAAGCTATCCATGAGTCCCCCTTACTCCACTCCTCATCAGCCCAGGCAAAGCCTGTCTTGAGGCAGTGAGGCCATCACCACACATCAAACACTGTCTTTATGACATACCAGAGGGTCACAACTCCAAGCAAAATGACAGTCCCATTGTACTTTGTGAGGGTCAGACCTGGGGTTATATGTCTACTTAGAGGACCTTCATTTAGGCAGGGCACTGTGTCCGGAGGAGGGCAGCAAGGATGGTAAGGAAATAGCAAACTACATTATGGGAGAAGCCGATAAAGAAACTAGAGTTATTGAACCTATACAAGACAAGGGTCAGAGGGATCGTAATAGACTGTGTAGACCACAAAATAGATTCATTCCATGAGTGGCCAGTGGAGTGGACCAGTGGATATAACTTAGAGAGAAGGTTTTGGTTCAATAAAAGGCTACATTTTCCAACCCATAGATTTTTCCAACCAGGCTGGCTGGTGAGAAGGAGCACAGGCAAAGCCTATATCCCCACAGATTCAGGGTTGCATAAAAAGATTTTTTCACATGGCAGAAAGTTGGGATAGAAGACCATAGTTATTCCTTTCAATGGAAGGCTCTTGGAATTTGTAATAAAGTTGCAAAATATCCAAAGGCAGGGCCGACCCGGTGGTGCACTGCTATAGTGCGCCGCTTGGGAAGCGCAGTGGCACTCCCGCCGAGGGTTTGGATCCCACATACAGACCGGTTCCCGCTCACTGGCTGAGCGAGGCGCGGGAGCAACACCGAGGGCTGCAATCCCGTTGCCGGTCCTAGTCCGGTACGGGGGCGACACTGAGGGTTGCGATCTGTTGCCGGACACGGAAAAAGACAAAAAGGAAAAAAATATATATATATCCAAAGGCAAACTAATATATCTATAATTGATGTTATAAATCATTTCTTCAACAAATATTATTGAGTACTAACTGTGTCAGGCACTGGAGAAATAACAGTGACAAAATATACAAAATTCCTGCCCACAGGAGCTTACGTTGTAGTGGGAGAGACAGATAAAAAGCAAGATATATAAGTAATATATATTGTGTTAATGATAAGAGCAAAGATGAAAAAATCAGGAACGGAGGATAGAATAGGTTGTCAGGGATGGCCTTACTGGGAAGTAAGTGGAAGGAATGCAGGAATGAGGAGGTGAGCCAGGTGGGTCTCCGTGGGAAGTGCATTCCAGGCCGGTAGAAGAGCAAGCAGAAAGGCCCTGTGGTAGCAGTGTGCTGACATGAAGGCCACTAGAAATGGATTGAAGTGAATGAGGCAGAGGTTAGTAGGAAGCGAGATCAGAATGGTGACGGCAGCCAGATCCTGTAGAATTTCTAGGTCATAATGAGGGATTTGGCTTTAGCCCTATTTACAGGGTTTTGAGCAGAAGACTGCCATGATCTTACTTATGTTTAACCAGAATTCTTCTAGTTGCTGGGTTGAGAATAAATGATAGTGAGGAAGGATAGGAGCAGAGAAACTAGTTAAGAGGATATTGTAGGGGCCGGCCCGGTGGCGCACTGGATAGTGCGCCGCTTGGAAAAAAAAAAAAAAAAAAAAAAAAAAAAAAAAAAAAAGAGGATATTGTAATAATCCTGAGGAGAGGTGATGGGGAATTGAGGCAGGGTGTTAGCCATGTAGGAAAGGAGAAATGTGGTTAGATTCTGGATACACCCTGAAGTTAGAGACAACAGGATTTTCTAGAAGATTGAATATTGGGGGCCGGCCCGGTGGCGCACTGCTACAGTGCACCGCTTGGGAGTGCGGCTGCGCTCCCGCCGAGGGTTCGGATCCCACATACAGACCGGTTCCTGCTCACTGGCTGGGCGAGTCGTGGGAGCAACGCCGAGGGCTGCGATCCCGTTGCCGGTCCCGGTCCGGTACAGGCGCGACACTGAGGGTTGTGATCCGTTGCCGGACACGGAAAAAGACAAAAAAAAAAAAAAAAGATTGAATATTGGGTGTGAAAGAATAGAGGATTCAAGGTGAGTCCAAGTTCTTTGCCCTGATTAACGGGAAGATGGAGTTGCCTTTTACTGAGTTGGTGACAATGAAAACTGTGAGAGGAGCGGGTTTTGCAGGATGGAGGGAAATAAAGGCTTAGTTCACAGCAGATTAAGTCTGGAATCCCTATTAGTAATTAAAGTAAAGATGTTGGTAAGCAGTTGTGCGTACAAGCATTTAAGAGAGAGCTCCAGGCTTGAGACGGTGTTAAAGCTGACACTCAGTCAGTTATATTGAGAGAGTGGCAGTGGCCCAGCAGCCAAAATCTTCAAGGAGTGAAGGGAGAGACCCAGAGGGTCAATGATGCTGCAACAAGGGGGGGTGGTGGGTGGTAGAGTCTGATAATAGGAGTAAGCACTGGGAGTTGTTGAGGAGGGTAGGGAATGGCCTTTGTGGTTAGAGGTGGGGAGAGGATGAGGATGGATGCCTGCTCATGTTATTGAAACAAATGACTTCCCTACCTGCCCAATCGATGCCAGATGAACCGGGAAGCTAACAGTGACAATGAGGAGCAATTTCTTGCATGGGATCTAACATGAATTCCTAAGGCCCATGCCTACTACGAGGGCATTTGCTTACACACTAGGCCTTAACCCAGAATCCTGAATAAGAGCGACCATATATTTTGTCATCTAGGCTAGGACACTTCTGAGCAAGTATAAACTGAGACTCTTCTGGGAAAATCAGGACATACAGTTACCCTAACTAGAATGCATGTAGGATTCCATCCCAGTGTATTTCAAGGCTCCAGCTTCCATTTCTCTCCTTCTTGGCTTTTCTTCTGGGTAGATCCATTGTGTTCCTGGGCAAGTCATGAGCATCTGTACTCACCCCCTCTGAGATGGCTGCATGTCAGACTAAGGATGGAGTCTCAGCACCACAGGTTGCCATTGAGTCCACACCTTCCTCCCAGCTCATAGAAGTCTGAGCATATACATATTACTGAGGTGCTGCCACTGTTGAGGCTTGATTTTGCTGATGGGAGCCAGCATTCCCAAGAAGAACAAGTCCCTGTCAGAGTATATGCTTCTGAGAGCTGTTAGGTGACAGAGGATGCATTCTTTCTCATTGTTGGTGTATTTTCCTTGATAGGCTCTGTGATGCAAAGAAAGTTCCTGTCCCCACTAATCTTGGATGTAAATGACATGTGCAGCTAATCCTTGTTATTAACCACCCTTTCCACTGTGGGGGAAGAACTGAACTTCCCATTTGTCAGGGATGAATAATACTGTCCTTTGTCAGCTGAGTTTCTGCTACTATTAGCAAGTTACGTGTAAGAAACGAGTGGGTTGGACTACCTGTGCGAGGCCCCTTTCTGCTCTTCTATTGTGTGTTTCAGTTCTTCCCCCCAGTCTTTGTTTTCTGTTTGCAGTGATGGCTCCGCACTGCAATGCAACCCCTTCGGTGTATAGCACAGCCTTTTATAAAATAACCAGGGCTTGAAGCAGCAAGGTGCTCCCTGAGCATTTGAACTTTTGCTCTTATTAGCGTCCTCCCCTAATGAACTGAGCCAGCCAGAATTTGGGGATTAACTATAGACTAGAATTGACCAAAATGCCAGGGTTTAGATTTAAGATTCAACAAGGGAAACTTTTAACCACCAGGAGAGGAAAAGGCTACTGGAGACATCCATTGGCTCAAGTTGTACAGAACATATGTGAAGTTTTCATCTGTTCAGCATCCAAACCCCTCCTTAATAGCACCAACATCCCTTTGAGTCTCCTACATCATGTTTAGTCTTGGAGGGAGGCAGACATTTTCTCCCTTTTCAGAGGCCAAAGAAACCAAATGCTCCTTCTCCTCAACCATCACCCCCGCTAAGGGTCAGTTTCAGCCAATCTGACTCTCTCCTTGGGGATTTTGAAACATGAGCAAGGGAGGGAAGGATGTGGGCAAAGTTGAAGACCATTCATAGCAAGAGCAGCAGCAGCAGAATCAGATCCAACTCTTCCTGCTGCAGATTCCTGCTGCTGAGCTTTCTGCAGCCTCCTCGGATCCTCTTCCCAAGTCCTTAGCTTCCCCTCTTCTCCTCTCAATAAATTCCCATCTGCCCAGTAATCCAGGATATTTCTCTTTCTTGCATCCTTCACAGTCACATATGCCTACCTCACTCTCATGAGTGGAGAAAAATGACAGATGGGCCACCACTCATTGGCCTTTAATGCTCTACAGAGAACTATACAAAGATTGTCAAGGTCCAACCTTTCTCCTTACCAGGGGGCTGCTGCTGGTGGTGAGCACAGTAGAGCTGCTGTTTGTAATGTCCCTTTTGAATATTGGGCACACTCTTTTTTTTTTTTTTCCTTTTTGTCTTTTTTCGTGCCCGGCAACGGATCGCAACCCTCAGTGTTGTGCGCGCACCAGACTGGGACCAGCCACGGGATCGCAACCCTCGGTGTTGCTCCCGCCCCTCGCTCAGCCAGTGAGCGGCCGGTCTGTATGTGGGATCCGAACCCTCGGCGGGAGCACCACCGCACTCCCAAGCAGCGCACTGTAGCAGTGCGCCACCGGGCCGGCCCCAATATTGGGCACACTCTTAATGGTGAATATCCCAGATACAGAAAAGGACACAGGGACCTGCATGGTGGATCAAATCAGAGGCAACATCCACTTCTCCTACTTAAGTCCAGAATGTCTTTCAGTCTTTCCATGTGGAAAACAAGGATTATAATGTCTGCAGGTCTGAGGCGTCATGGGGATTAATTAATACAGCAAAGTGCTTTGATGTTGGAAGAAAGTGCTAGGTAAGTGCTGAGCTTTTTGCCAAAAGACATAGAGAGACTCAGTGTTGGATGAGAGACCTGGAATTTAGGAGTTCCTGGAATCCAGCCCGGTGCTGGGCTCAGAAAAAATGAGGTCACACCTCAATCTATAAACAGTCATTCAAAGAAGGGACTGGTGGAATAGGCTGGCTTGGGCCTAATTAGGTGTATTCTGTCCTTGCTGCTGCTGCTTCTGCTGCTGCTAGCAAGAATTTTGGAACTTGTCTTTCCTGTTGCTAATTCATTTTGCAGCATCCAGCACCTTGAGGCCTCTGTTCAAAACACAGGCAGATCAGCTGCCCTCTGCCATGAGAGCCAGTGCTGGGGATTTCTCTCCACCGCCCAGGCCTCACTTCCAGAATATAGTCTGACCTCTCACTGATGGACAGCCCCAGTCCTCTTTGCTGACCTCACCACTATGGGGACCAGAGGCAGGTTGACAGCAATGGACAGAAGTCTCTTTGCTGCAAGCATTAGTTCCTAAGGTTTTGGCTACATATACTTCTTGGGCAGCATGGGCCACAGTTAAATGATGCCTTACCTATCTTCATACAACACTGGCTCATTATTAAATCACATAGCATTTTTTTAATAAAGAGAAAAGGGGAAAGAGGATAAATGAGGGAAAATGACCGAAAGGAAAACCTGGAGGCATTGACAGGAACGAAACAACAAGGGCACCTCTGTGCCAGGGCCTTGGTTGAGTTCGTTATTCCCAGGGAATTAGCAGAAGTTCCTAAATCAACAGAGTGACAAGGTGATTGATGGACTGCTCAGTAGGAGATGTGATGTTGGAGCTGGATTGGTAAAAGGGCAAGAAAGGCATGTAAAATGACAGCTACTCCCCTTGGAATTCAGGGAGTTGCAGGCTAGAAACAATGGACAAGGGATTGTTGTTTTATAAAACTTTAATACCAACCTGAAATTCACAGCCCAAGGCTAAAGAATTAGGGTCTTATGGAGGCATGTATAAGGCCTACCAGCTGCTTTAGTTCATTTATTTCAGGCAGAATAAAGGCTTTTTCCTGCTACCAAATGATGAATGCTCTAATGAGCCAGGAGGTAGTATAGCTCAGTGGTAACAGCAGAAGGCCAGCTTAGACCTGGGTTCAAATCTCAAGTCCAGTAGTTGCTTGGGCAAGTAATTGTAAGTCTCTAATTTTTTAATCTCTAAAATAGTGGCACTGATAGTACCTACCTCAGAAAACCAGTGTAAGGAAACTGTAAGATTATGTGGGCAAAGCACACGGCCAATGCCTGGCTTACAGTAAGCGCTCAACATGTGTTAGCCAAAATGGCTGGCACCAGTGCCGAATGCATGATGGCAGCCATTCAACAAATGCTTATTACTCAACACTATATGCAGAACACAGAGATACAAAAGTCACATAAAAAATCACTGCCTTAAGCGAGTTTAGAATCTAGTGGAAAAGTCACTGAATGAACAAGAAATTGCCACTGCAAAGCAAAATGAATACATGTGCTCTGAACCGAAGGGCTGAAGGGACGTGGGGCGAGGAGTGATGAGAGGTGGAGGGAAAGATGATGAAATGTAAGCCTTCCCATCCCACCAAGACCTCTCCTGCCCCTGCACTGAATGCACCTGTCAGGGTGTAGGGAAGTGGGCCTACGTAGTGAAGCCCGTGGTTGACAAAGAGTGTAAATGGGTAGGAAGAGGGCGAGGAGCGGCCACGCTCAGCATTGGTTGGGAGCTGATAGTTTTATTAAATAGGACTCTTGACTGAACATTTTCTTTTTCTATTCCTTCTCTTTTAAAAAATATGTCCAACAACCAGAAAGACCTCTAGTTTTCCAGATTCCCGGAGCCCTGGTCTCTATGCCACATGGACATTATCCACCTCCTCTGTGTCCTCCCAAGGCAGCATTTCAGACAGTGATCCCCGGCAAAACCGTCCTTTCAAATCTGTCTTTGTGCCCACCGCCATCGTCAACCCCGTGAGGAGCACAGCCAGCCCCGGGACTTTAGGACAAGGGTCTCTCCGGAAAGGGCGGAGCAGTATGAGAAAGAGTAAGTGGTGGCAGCGAGGTACGTGCCTAGAGCTAAGTGCTGGGGGGAACTGACCTGGGTACATCAGTGCTTTCTGCAAGAACAGGATTTAGCTTTAAATGAGCCTCTGCAAAGGGTGCTTTACTATTCCCAAATGATGAGTTGTTTTATTGAGCGAAGCCAGACCAACGCATGATCGTTGGGTCACTTCATACTTCCGTGGATGGATGGATAGATAGACAGACACACACACACATATACCTGTTAATCATACTGAACTGCTCTGCATCTTGCTTTGATTTTTTACCCACATAACATCCACATTTCACACATGGTAATATATATAGATCCTTCAAACTAAGAACCATGCTTTTTTTTTTATCTCTTAATATTGAACTTCTACATAAGATTCCATTTTCAGGAGTTCTAAAACATGTTTGAAACATTAACTGTTCTACAAAACATTAAGGTTTATATTCCTACACCTCTGTAGAAGAAGACAACAAGCCAAGCACAGTAAATACAATTTGTTCTATAGCCTCTGATTTAAACCAGGCTCTGTAATCCCTCTTGTGATCTTAAATGATTTGACCTGAAAATGCAATATGACTAGTCAAGGCGGAAGAGGAATGTGTGTGGGACAATAAGCCACACAGGAGAATTCCCCAAGAAAAAGAAAGCAAATGTCTTAGCTCCACCTGTCCCAGTGCTTTCATCTGACAGCCCGCTTGACCACTAATCCCACTACTCTGGCCACTTCCTTCCACCCAACAGTGCCTTCTCCTTCCCTCTCCCCTCCTTTCCTCCAACTCCCTCCTCCCACATACACAAAATGTTGGGTGGGATACACAACAGCCTTGGGGAAGGGACTGACCTTGCCAGTCTTCAGTTTTCTCATTTGTAAAATAGAAATAAAAATAATACCAACTCCATCAGGGTTACTGTATGGATTTAATAAAACAATCCATATAAGGCTTATGGCCCAGTGCCTGACATATAATAATCTCACAAGAAGCATTAGCTTTTTATAGTATTATTTTGTTAGAATTGTCATTGCTACTGCAACTAAGCACAGATCATCTTTGGTTCACTCAGAGCATGAACTCACTTTGGGTTGAAATGTTCACACTCAGCCTAGACCACTTAGGGATGCAGAGAATTGTGGCCCATCCACAATCACTCATGCTTTTTAGTAACCCTCTCTACCTTTGTGCAAATCTTGACCGGCTTAGAGCGTTAACTGCTTGTACTATATGCACGTGTAATAAGAAAGCATTAAATCTCTTGGAAATTAGGAACCAACAAGATAAATAGACAAGGCATAAAACCAATTTTTCACATGCTTACAGGAGCCTAAGGACATGTCTTCCTGGAATTGTTTTGACTTCCAGGTCCTGGAGGCTTTCTCTTTCTCCCTTTTCCCAAGGTGAGGCTGGTCAAGCTATCAATCTCCCCAAAGCAAAGAGAAATGACAGCAGAATTGACCGTGTACACCTCACAGGGCTGTCAGTAGAAAAATAAATATCTAAATTGAAAGGTCAGACTTGCATAAATGGTGACCGGCCTGCTTGCAGCATCTAAGAACGCCCATTGTGTTTTAGCAAAGCATTCTGCTTTTCACTTCTGGCTTGATGAAGAGTTGTCACAGTGCAGATGTGGCCTTGGCTCAGGCACTCTGTGCTGGACACAAAGGACTCTGATTCAAACACATGTCCCTGGAGTGTCATGAAGAACTGATACCTCTGGCTGGGACATAACCTATGTCTCTCTAGATGCTAGGAGACCCTGATGGAGAAATGGCCTGCAGTGTTTCTCAGGGGCGTCTCCTCCAACCCCCACAGAATGCAATGAACTCCTGATTCCCCAGGTCACCTACAGGACGTACGCCCAAATAACAAGAACCCTCGTGTTTTCCAGAAAATCTGAGGGCAAAGACATCTCAATTTAAAAGGAGAAGGAGGAGGAAGAAAGGGAGGGGGAGAAGGAGAGGTAGAGGGAGTTTGGCAAAAAATTAATTCCTAGACCTTGCATTTTTAGAGCATGCTATTCTTTACCCAAAATTAATGACAGCTGACAAGCATGGGGCTTTTATTATGTTCCAGGTGCTATCCTAACACTCTGTACACATCACAAAATGCAACCCTTACAACAGTCCTATGATGTACTGTTATTATTTCCAGTTTACAAATGCAGGCTCTGAGGAGCAAGGAAGTGCCGTGACTTACTGACTTACTTGGGAGGAAGTCTGATTCCAGATCCTGTGTCATGAGACCTTGCAATGCTCATCCACACACAGTCCTAACTCTGGGATGACCTCTCCAAATTTGACCTCTGTCTGGCTTCATGCTTGTCTGGCACACAAACTGTCACTACTCCCTGCTGCCCCCAGCAAAAAGCAACCCCTCCACCACATGCCTGAAGCTTCTCTTAGGGTTTTCTTCATCGAGTAGCTGGTCAGAGTTCTCTTCTCCCCCGCCCTCTCTCTTTCCCTCCTTCCCTTCATCTTTTGTTTCCTCTCTGGTCTGCCTGCCCCTATGTCTGCTTCTCACTGCGACACTTTCTCTGCATGTCTCTCTTCTACACCCTCCATCTTAAAGGCCTGGAGGGGGAGAGAGAGAGAGAGAGAAGGCAACATACCTTTGACACCCTCCACCCCCACCCACACACACAACATTCAGCTAGCCAGTTATTTGCTGCCAGCATCAGCAAACAGCACTAAAAAAAGAATAAGGGCACCTTTGAAAGACCCCAAGAGAATGTAAGTGCAGCCAAATTAGGAAAGCACTTAACTATTCTTGGATATCAGGACACACTGCCTACTCAGCCCCGACCCAACCTGCTGTCTGCTGCCTCTGTTACTAATGTCTCTGTCATTTAATTCCCCAGATGGATCCCTGCAGAGACCCATCCAGTCAGGGATCCCCACCCTTGTGGTGGGCTCACTCAGACGCAGCCCCACCATGGTCGTACGGCCTCAGCAGTTCCAATTCTACCAGCCGCAGGGGGTCTCCTCCTCACCCTCAACCGTGGTGGTGGAGATGGGACCCAAGCCTACTCCTACTGGGGAGCCTGCCCTCACATGCGTCACCAGAGGCAGTGACACCAGGATCCACTCGGCAGCCAGTTCCCTCATCTTGGAAGGCAAGGACATCCCCATCAAGAGTGAGCCTCCACTCAAACCACCTGCATCTGCCCCACCATCGATCCTGGTGAAACCAGAAAACTCAAGAAATGGCATAGAAAAGGTAGGAGTGGTGTGACATCGGGTGCCCGACTCTTGAGACCCCTAACATTACCCTAATGCTGTCCCAGCTTCTGAGATTTTTAGCATTGGTGGACAAGGAAGTAAAATCGTAGCCCTGAAAGAATCTTCACACACAACACCCCCCACTTGCTCGCATCCTCATCCCCACCCTAGGCATGCTACTGGTTCTCCTTTATGCTTCCCGAATGTTTTATACGTTCTCTTTTTGAGGCTGGCTTGGAAAAAAACATGGCCTTGGAATAAGACAAATCTTGATTTGAATTCCAGCTCTGCTGCTTGCTGCTGGGTGACTTTGGCCAAAACACTTCATCCTTCTGGAACTCTTTTTTTATGTTTGGCCTAATCTGTCAAATGGGGGTAAGAATAGTAATGGCCAGATAGAATTGGAGTGGAGATTAGATGAGATAAGATATGTGAAGTGCTAACATAACACTTGACACATAATTATTCATTGTATAAAAGAGGTAACTGAAGCACAGGAGAATTTAAGTGACATCAAGGTCACACTGAACCATAACAACTCCAGCAACTAACTTATTGTGGCCTCTGTGGCAGAAGTCAGATTCCTTAATTTCTAGTCCAGGGTTTTCCCCACTAGAAGACATAAGAGTTTTTGTAAAGTCTTTTAAAAAAGACATGTCTTTTACAAAAACTCTTATGTTCTGAATAATATGTGGGGAGGAGGAAGTAACACTAAGAAAATTAGGTGATGCTCATTGCTGTCTCTTAGTTTATTGAACATCACCACCACCACCACCACCCTCAGCATCACATCACCATCATCACCATCACATCCCATCATCACCACCACCACCATTATCACTGCCATCACATCACCATCATCACCATTATCTCCATCACCATCATCACCACCATCAACATTATCATCACCATTATCACCATTATCACCATCATCACATCACCACCATTGTCACCACCATCAACATTATCACTACCATCATCACATCACCATCATCATCACCACCATCACCACCACCATCACATCACCATCACCACCACCATCACATCACATCACCACCACCATCACATCACCATCATCACCATCACCACCATCAATATCACCACGACCATCACCATCATTACCACCATCATCCATTCCCCTAAAAATAGAAAGAGGATGTGGTTTCCTCCTATTTGTTAAGAATTTACTGAATACTAATGACCTGGCAGGCACTGCTGAGTACTTCACATGTCCCATCTCATTTAATCCCAACAGCAACCCTCTGAAGAAGGTATTATTTTCATCCTCTCTTTAAAATGAGGAAATGGAGGCTCAGGAAGTTAAAGAACATTACCCAAGGCCACGCAGCTGGCACACATGAGGGTCTGGAGTAGAGTCCAAATGTGACACAAAAACTCATGCTCTTAATGCTAAGCTATAAGCTTATAGGGAAAGACATTTGGAAAAAGCAGTGACTAATATAAATGTTGAGGGTTCTTATTCTGAGTTATAGTATTAAATAATTCAAAGTTTTTCAGGCCCTAGTTGCTCATTACTCCAAGCTATGAAATACAACCCTCCAACTATAAACATTTAGTAAGTGCCCAGACTTCAGAGAGATAATAATGAGGGTCAAAAAATACGAAGAAACTTAGGTTCTCAGTGGGCACACTAGGATCTAATTTCATGGAAAAAAGAAATCATTCCTAAGCAGTACCATAGAACACTTTACCAATTCCTAAGATAAGGATTGGCCAAAGCAAATACCTATAGTGCCAGTCAGATATGTAACAGGTTAGAAGAGGTGAAGGAAGAGAAAGAGAGATAGGCTTGGGCAAACTGGAGACCATGCATCTCATATAAAGCAAGTGCCAGAATGGGGCATAGGCCCAGTGTGCCAGATGTTTGATGTTTCAAGAGACATATGAAATCCTGATTTTTATATGCTATCTTCCAATTTTTCTGTGTTGGCAAGTAAGTCAAACTCTCATTCTGCAGGCTAAATTCAGCCAGCAGGTGTCCAGTTTGCAAACTCTGCTCTGAGGACCTATAAGGTCATTATGAAATCTCTAAATGGAATCATCAGGAGAAGCCTCAAGGAAGAGGTGGGACTTGAGCTGGGCCTTAATGGTCAGCAGAGAGAAGAGAGGAAAGGTGAACTTTTATTTCCTGGAAGGGATCATACCCTCTTGCTTCAGGCCCTTTTCACAGGCAGTTGCCTACCCTATTTCTCCCAGATAATTCCTAATTGTTCTTCAACTGAAAGAGCTCTGCCTCCAGGAAGACTTCCCCAACTATCCCCATTCCAGCTACATTCTCAGCAGCTGACACTTCCCTGCTCAGAGCACTGGTTGTAATTGTCATGTTGGTGAGTTTTGTTCACCGTTCAACTCGTAACACCTAATGGAGCTCGTGATGCATAGGAGACACTCACAGTAGACACAATACTCACCGAATGAACACACAAATGAGGCATTGCAAGTGGGGACAAGTGAAGAGAAACAGCACAAACCAAGTCCCAAGGAAAATAGCACGTCCCCCACCTCACCCATGTCCCTTTGCTCTCTTTTCTCTTGCAGCAAGTCAAAACCGTGAGATTCCAGAATTACAGCCCTCCTCCCACCAAACACTACACCTCCCATCCCACCTCTGGAAAGCCTGAACAGCCAGCCACCCCCAAGGGGTCCCAGCCCGAAGCAGCCCCTTCGGGCCCAGAGATGACCATCCTATTCGCCCACCGAAGCGGCTGCCACTCCGGACAGCAGACAGACCTCCGGAGAAAGTCAGCTCTTGGCAAGGCCACGACTCCAGTGTCCACTGTCTCAGCCACTCAGACCGTCTTTCCCAGCAAATGAATCTACGGGTGGCTTTTCCTAGACCCCAAAGAGGTGAATTGCATTTAAATACAGTCTGCCTCCACTGAGGGTGTCCTGCCGTTCTTTGGGGAATCAAGCATGGGTACTTATTCTGCCCATTTTACCTCCAAAAAAGGAAAGGTGGGCACAGGGATTCCTGCCATAGGTGGGAGGAAGGATTGTGTAGCCATCCAAATATAATGGTTCGATGCAGCACAGCCCACTATTCAGACCAAGGAGTGGGAGACAGCCCTGACCACTTTGCTCCCCAGTATGGAGCATGTGGCCCCTGTGTTCTGTGTAGAATTTCTGTGGTGTCCTAAAGGGGCTTCAGCCAGGGGTATGATAGTGGTGGGATTGTTGGCCTTGCTTCTTTGACCTTATCACCATATTCTTAGCAAGCACTAGAACAGCTTCTGCTGGGGCTTGTACAGTGGCCACTAATAGCTGCCATGTCATTTTCCTTCTGTAAGGTCATAATCTTGCCTGCAAAGGGAGAAATTTCTGGGAGGGGTATGAAATGTATGCTTTGAACATTCTGAGAACCCACTAAAACTAAAGGCAGTCAGCTTCCTGAGTTTGCTCCACTCAAGAAAGTCAAAGAGAAAGCTGACCACCACGTACCAAAGATGATCATAATTTAAACTTTCGATCTATTTTCCCACATATAATCCTACAGGATATATAAGCAGGAAGCATGTGGCTGGGGATAGGGCCATGTATGGTATTATGGAGAATTAATTCATCCTGGCTCTATAGTCTGACTTCCCCAAGAAAACACAGCATACTGAAAACAACCTTGTGTGGGGCTGAGTTTAGATATGTATTCTGCTCGCATTGCGGCATTCTCTACTTCCCCTGGTTGCTTCTCATTTGGGGCAGACTAGTTGTTTTACCCCTCAGGTAACAACATCAGTGAGAATATGCCAGTCCAAGGCTGTGGTAGAGCGCTTCCTGGAGGAAAGCTGCTGTAAGAGGGACTGGACAAAGACAGTTGAGGAAAAGGGGGGAAAGAAGAAGAAACAGGAAGGGTAAAGAAATATGAAGGAAAGATGGGGGGTTGTATGAGAGTAAGAGAGAAAGATGGAGGATTGAGAAAGAGTACCAAGGAAGGGGGTCGGGCAACCTTGACATTCCTGACAGGTGGGGAAAGAAGGGCCGAGTCTGCAGTGGAAAGGGGACAAAACTAGGTCATGCCACTAAGACGGGGCTGAAGTGGGCAGGACTAGCCAGGCACAGCCTCGTAAACAGGGGTGAGGAGGCATCCCAGGGAACCAAAGCAATGCTGTAAGATAACCCATTAATTCTCATTAAACTTAATTGTTGTGATTTAACATTTATTGCATGCCCATCGATGTGGGCACTTTAACGCATAAACGCCATTCACTACTAAGGCTGGTTGCCATAAAAAAAAAGAAAAGAAAAGAAAAATGTCAGGTCTAATTAGACCTTTCCGTAGACAGTTCTTGAAGGTCCTGGGATTCAACACATATCTTTTACATACCCACCCACACACTTTGCAAACTGAATGGTCCACAGACTGTTCCAGACCTTAATAAAAACAAAACCATAATCCTGCCACGGAATACTGCATATGTGTCAGAACTTCGGGGCTGGTAGAGCCATCATGGTAGCACGTTGTTCGAGCATTTCTATGAGATACTGACCCATGCATATAGCACAAAATCAACACGCTCAACCCATGCCTTGTTAACTGAATACAATAACCCAGATGGAGAGACAGGATGAAGTCATAAGGACAGGGAGGTATTGTACGATTTGTCAAAACATGAGTACTTAGGGATGCCTCTTGATGAGATAACAATGAGTTTAGTAATTTACACCCAGAGGGGCAGATAAATAACATGACCAGCCTACCAAATATTTAGTCTATACCTCAGTAGCAATGGATCCAGTTAATTTTTAACCTTTGTGACTGACAAGGCAGTTGTTTAAGAGCAATGGAGACACAATCCATGCCTTCCAAATGAAACAGAATACTCTTCCTATTGTCCATTGCCTCCATAACCTCTCTGAGAAATGTAATGATCCCACGGCTTTCCACCCCCACTTCCTCCAGCCTTTATACCCAAGCCCAGCATCAAATTCACTCCCTCCCAAACCAAACCCCATGTTTGTTGAGTTTTATGAGGGTTTGAAAGGGGTAGAAGATGTTTCCAAGTAAAAGTTGACTTCACCAGCACCTTCAACTCTTTTCTTCCACCGACATGTGTCTGACATTTACTGTGTGCTGGGCACCGCAATGAGGACAATAGACACATCCTTTCATGTAATTTCCACCATAATCTTATAGGGCAGGTATAATTGTCCCCATTCCATAACCAAGGATATTGAGGCTTGAAGGTTCAATGCAGATGGTGGCAGAGCAAGGATGCAGACTCAAACTATCTAACTTTAAAACTTGACTTGAGACTGTGCTATATGAAACGAAAAGGCATCCTTGACTTCCAGAGGACTTTGGCTTAGTGCAATCTGGTTACAAACTCAGACTCTGCTGCACACAGACTTGGTTCAAACCCTCATCACTTTCTAGCCATGTGAGGCTGAGCAAGTTACTTAATCTTTCGGAGCCTCATTTTCTTAAGCAGAAATAATAATAGTACCAATCTCATTGGGCTATTGTGAGATTAAATGGGATAATAATACAAAGTAACCTAAACAGCACTGGCACATAGTGAACACTTAACAAATGATAGACTTGGACATTTGTAAGAAAACAAGCTGTTGTGATTCCAAGTAAAAAATCATTCATTCATTCATTCATATATATATATATATATATATATCTGGGTGAGAAATTCTAAAACAAGGTCATGCACAGGACTGTGGTGCTAAAAGAAGACTGACATAGCCTAATCCTGGAGGCCAGGACACAGTGTAAGTTGAAGGACAAGTGAGAGTCAGATAGACAAAGTGGTGGGAGAAAGGGTATTCCAAGCAAGGGGCGAGCTTTGGCAATAAATGTAGCAATCAAGCCGAGTTCCCTTGTACTTAAAGGAATCCACTCCTTCATGGAACATTCCGGAGATCCCAGATACAACCCTACCACCTCAAGTCTGAAGCAGAAAATTGCATCATGTGAAGGCTCCACCCCCCAGCTAAGATTCATAAAGTCCCTAAGAAGGGTACCCCTTTGCCCCATGGTCAGACCCTGGCACCTTGGTGCTATGTAAGGTGCTGAGGGTGGGATTCGATTGGGGGAAGGCAGGGGACATCCAAGAGGTGAAAGGCAGGTGACAACGAGCTGAAGACAGATTCTGAGGACCATACTTGAGGAAATAGCCTCGTTAAGCAGTATCGAGAACCTCACTTAGGACTTGTTTCCTTCCCTTTTTGTGTGGGACCAGCCTCACCTCCTCTACCCTTCACCCATACCATAGGCTGGGCTTTTGGCACAGGAAGAGTTTAAAGCAACGCCCTCATCTGTGACTTGGTGAGGTGCAGTACTGACCCAATACTCAATGACTTCCAATGTCCCTTGAAAAGTCAGAAGGTCTGTTCATACCAGGCCTGCATACCTGAGCAGCAGCAATCCAAAGGGCTGGGTCGGTGTTAAAATGGCTTCAATTAGATGGAATTTGCTCTTCAATTTGCCACCGCCCCACTGGCTTGCTTCACTTAGCCACATGACCTGCACCTGAATTAGGCATATTCCCCCCTAGGGATTCTACGTGAGCTGGACTCCATCTCTCAAGGCATCATAAGCCCACAAAAGTTAGAGCTGACTCCTTAGAGATCAGCTGATCCAGGGCACTCAGGTCCCAGGAGCAAAGTGAGCCTAGTCTGGGCTGTAGTGAGCTTTATTCAGTAGTCTTGAGTTGGGTTCTGACCATCTGTGTTTTTAACAAGTTCCCCAATATGATGCACATAAAGTAAGAGGATCTATTCCACCTTCCTCCTACTGTACAACAGAGCTGACATTCAGCAGAAGTATGGTCACACTGGTCGTTAAAATGTTGAAATAGGCCTGTACTGATAGGTGAATAGCAGATGCTCTGAGCTCCTCAAGGCCTCTCGCTCCCACACCCTGGACCTTCCCCCAGCTCCTCTCCATAACTCTACCACCCAGCAGCTAACGGGCTCAGACAAGGTGCAGCTGAGACCTCCATCAGTAAAGCCCTTCTTCATTCCGATTGCCTAGTGCCTATGCCATACCAGTTGTTAAATATCTTGACTGTTATCGTGTAGTACAGAATGGGGCCTGGAGAGGTCACACAGAGGCTGAGAGCACTGCTAGCATACCCAGCAGTCTTCCCAAACCCATCCTGGCCACTGTCCAGCCCTTGACAGTCACCTCCAGGCCCTCAGCCTAGGAAAGAAGCTGACTGGGAGGGAGGGCAGTTTCATGCTTGCTAGTCTACCTTTTTTGTCTAACCCCTTAACAGGCTTAAGCAATGCCTGGTAGCTTCCCAGTTCCTCTGGCATCGATTGGACACATACGGAAGTCATTTGTTTCAATAAGATGAGTAGGCATCCATTCTCATCCTCTACCCGCCTCTAACCATGCAGGCCAGCCACACATCCTCTGGACTCCATTCCTGGGAAGTGAACAGCTGTGCCAAGCAGAATGGCAAAGTCCTATCAAGTCTCTCCAGTGGGGACCAGGTGCTTAGCAAGCTGGCACAGAACAATGCTGGGGCCAGCAGCTGCTACCACTGATGCTTCTCTTGTTTATGTCTTGAGAGAAAAGACCCCAGCTCTCCTGAGAGAAGAGGGTGTTAGTACTTGCAGCAACTTCTCTCATGACCATGAAAGATAGTCACTTACAGAATGTGTTTGGCAGCCAGGACCAAATCAGAGAAGTTAACTCCAAAGATCCTTGCAGCAGGTTGTTGTCATTTGGAATAAATCATGCAAGGACATTTTGCTTGAAATAGATCAATGTTAAATGATCCAGCCGTCTGTTTGCCAGGCCATAGTATTATGTCGTAGACACAAACAGAAACAAAATGTTCCCAGGGGGTCCTCTGCCAACTGAT